CTGCTCCCACTACCACTGCTCCCACATACTAATGGCATCAGCCCCTCTTGCACCTACTGATGGCATGGAGCAGTTGGGGCCGGTGCCAGCAGCAGTTGCAAACAGGGCTGGTGTGATCAGAGGGTATGAGTGATGGCTCCAGCGCCAGCTGTGGGTGCAAGCAGGGCCATCACTGGCAGTGGGTGTGAGAGGCAGCTGCTGGCCTCAATTGCCGCTCAGGAGCAGAGGAGGTGGAAAAACCCTGAGGGGTGATTGAGGCTGGCAGCTGACACTTGCACCAATGGTGGCGCAAAGTGATCTGGGCCGGTACTGGCAGTGGATACAAGCAGGGCGGGTGTGGCAGCAGGTGCAAGCACCTAGAGGGACTGTGGCATGTAGGAGCAAAGAATTTTCAGAAACTACCCAGAGGCTCATTCTGATGACAGTGACTGGCACCCCACCTGCTCCACCATCCCGTTTATCATTGCAACAAAACAAAAATTAAGATACTTAAGAGTAAACTTAATTAAGGAGGTAAAAAGCTTGTACTAAAAAAACCTATAGAACATTGAAAAAAGAGATAGAGGAAGACATAAACAAATGGAAGAATATATCTTGTTCATGGATTGGTAGAATCAACTTCATTTAAATGTCTATTCTACCCAAGACAACATACAGATTTAATGCAATTACCATTAAAATACCAATGGCATATTTCACAGACCTAGAACAAACTCTCCCAAAAATCCATATGGAATAAAAAAAATATCCCAAATAGCTACAGCAATCTTGAGAAAGAAGAACAAAGTTGGAGGGATCACAATACCAGATATCAAGCTATATTACAAAGACACTCTACTCAAAACTGCCGAGTACTGGTACAAGAACAGACATGTAGACCAATGGAACAAAACAAAGAACCCAGAAATTGACCCAAGCCCTTATGCTCAATTATTATTTGACCAACAGGCAGGAGCATACAATGGAATCAAGACAGTCTCTTCAATAAATGGTGTTGGGAAAATTGGACATATATATGCAAAAAGATGAAACTAGACCACAAACTTATACCATATACAAAAATAAACTCAAGATGGATAAAGGACTTACATGTAAGATGGGAAACCATGAAATTTTTAGATGAATACATAGGCAGCAAAATATCATACATAAGTTGTAGCAATATCTACAAATATAGCTTCTAGGGCAATGGAAACTAAGGAGAAAATAAGCAAATGGTGCTACGTCAAAATAAAAAGTTTCTGCACAGCAAAAGAAACCACCAACAAAACAAGAAATTTCAAGGCATGGGAGAACATATTTGCCAATGTTATGTCCGATAAGGGCCTAATCTCCAAAATTTATAGGGAACTCATACATCTTAACAAAAGGAAGATAAACAATCCAATCAAAAAATGGGCAAAGGACTTAAACAGACACTTTTTGAAAGTGGACATACAGAAAGAAGACCAAGAGACATATGAAAACATGCTCAAAGTCACTAATCAAGAGATGCAAATCAAAATGACAATGAGATACCATCTCACATCTGTCAGAATGGCTATCATCAACAAATTGACAAAGGACAAGTGCTGGCGAGGATGTGGACAAAAAGGAACCCTCATACACTGGGAATGCAGACTGGTGCAGCCACTGTGGAGAACAGTATGGAGTTTCCTCAAAAAACTAAAGATGGAACTCCCATTTGACCCAGTGATCCCACTTCTAGGAATATATCCCAAGAAATTAGAAACACCAATAAGAAAGGATATATGCAACCCTATGTCCATAGCAGCACAATTTACACTAGCTAAGATTTGGAAACAAACTAAGTGCCCATCAGCAGATGAATGGATTAAAAAACTGAGTTACATCTACACAATGGAATATTATGCTGCTGTAAAAAAGAACTCTTACCATTCACAACAGCATGGATGGAATTGGAGAGCATTATTCTAAGTAAAATAAGCTAGTCAGAGAAAGATAAACATCTCATGATCTCACTCATTTGTGGAATATAATGAACAACATAAACTGAACAAAAATAAATCCAGAGACAGAGAAACATTGAAAAATCTGTTAAACTTCAGAGGGAAGGCAGGAGAGGGTGGTGGGGATTGGGGGAGTGGGGTGTAGGAGATCAACCAAAGGACTTGTATGCATCCATATAAACATAACCAATGGACACAGACACTAGGGGAATGAGGGCATGTTCTGGAGAGTGGGGGGTAGGGGTGGTCAGGAAGAGGTCAATGGGGGGCGGGTGGAAGAAGAAGACATATGTAATACTATATGTAATACTTTAAACAATAAAGAATCATTTTTTAAAAATCATTTGGTTTTAAATTGTTCATTTCTATTAAGAAATGTAATAGGCCATGTAAAATGCCATTGTGAATTAATATAAATTGACTAAAAGCTTCAGATCAGAGAAAGGATAAATGAAATTTTGAGGGACAAATAACATCTTACTGCTATGATCCTGAGATTTATCTCCATTAAATTCATTCCTTTGTATGGACATTATCTATAGAATCAACCCTTTAAAATAGCACCATTTACCTGGAACAGTGTGCATTAGTGGATTGGTGGGGTGTTTTTTTTGTTTTGTTTTGTTTTGTTTTGTTTTGTTTTTGTTTTTGTCAGTTTGTTTTTGTTTGGAGAACTGGAATCTAAGCCATAGCAGATAGAATAATAGAATAGTCCACGTACTCAATGTGCACACAGCTAAAGGGATACAGATGAGAGTAGTGAAGTTCTGACTCTGCTGAGAGATGACTCATCTGTCATCTGTCCAGATACTAAAATAGGGAATGCTGATCAGTCAAGGGCATTATCTGAATCCTGATCACTGAGGGAGAAAGCAACTGACAGAGAAACCAAATGATTAATGTAAGATGACCTTAAGAAAAGCTTTCTATAATTCACAATTGTGTGTACTGGGAGGTCCAATAGAATCTTAGGTGTGGAGGAATCAGATAGGATGAGTGATCTAAAAAGACATTAAAGAAAAAGAAAAGATAGGAGGAAAACAAAGTGTAAAAATTCTATGGCAGTTTATTGATTTTTAATTGTAAAATATTTTTTTAAATAAAGAAGTACCCTACATTTTTCTGATATATTGAGATATTAAGGAGTAAAACACCTAAATAGTTTAGGGCAGTTTTGATGATATTTTAGATCTATACTTTACTCTACTTTTTTATTCACCAATTATTTATTAAGTGCCTACTAAGTGCTAACCATGTACCTCTAAGGTTAAAGTAATGTTTAGAAATAGATTAATTATGAAATTAATATCTATAGGTAAATATTGACTAATTATTGAGACCATCTATTAGGTGTGACAAATGAAACACTAGAATGATAGTTGACCTGGAATTTTCCTCCAGAAAAAAATTAATAATAAAGAGATCATAGATAAAATGGATTCTAAAAACAATTTTGGCAAAATACATTTTTTTCTGAGAAATAAACATAGTTATAGTAGAAATCATATATGTGAATCTAATAATATTTTTATATAAAAACTAAATAAAATTAGCATATTCATAATCATAGTTGACACAAATGAAGAATTCTCTCACCAACAACAATAAAGAATGATTCCAAATTGAAACTCTTAGGCCAAAAAGAACATAGAATCTTTTCTTATGATTTTTTTGCAAAATTATTTGATGAGATCTTGTTATTTTATAACTTTAATTAGATTGTAATACAGGGTTTGGCAAAAGCAGGTTTACAGTATGAGTATGTGAAACACAGACTTTATTCTTGTATTATTATTTACTAGAAGCCCAATGCACAAAATGTGTGCATGCGTAGGGTCCCTATGCCTAGCCAGCAATCAGGGCCAGCCAGGGCCCCTTCCCTAGCTGCTAGCTACTAGTTGCCAGCTGCGAGTCAGGACCTTCCTCCATTCCACATCACCCCTTGGTGGTCAGTGCTTGTTATAGTGAGCAATCGAACTCCTGATCTCCTGGTCAAACTCCTGAAGGGACACTTTGCATATTAGCCTTTTATATATAGAGATTATTGTTTTGTTTTTTTCCATACAAACAACTATAAACCTATTTTGCTCCACCTTGTATTAAACTAAATAAAATCAATATTTAATGACAAATAAGATTGAATATATGTGTATCAACTGCTACATTTATACCTAGCCAGAAAATACACATAATAGCTCCTCAATAAGTATGTGATGAATGAATGAGTCAAGGTCAATATCTAAGACAAATGACCAAATGTTCCTTCCCATATTAAATATTAATTCAATTATTGAAAACATAAGAAAGACAATCAGGAATTACTACTTAATGAAGTGTGAAATAAGCCATTGCTTTTTGAAGTCTTTATTTCCCATTTTCTTATTTATGAAAATTAAGTAACATATTTAAGTGCTTGTCAACTGTTTTTTGTATTCTGTTTCTTTAAAGAGAAAATTTTGAACAAAAGGGGGAGAAATGAAAAAGCTAAGACAAGAGGGAAGAAAGATTAAAAATGAACTTGCCCATTCTCTTACAATACATTTTGTTGCCCCTGACCACATAGTAGTAGAGGGAATGGCATCTTAAGTCAAAGACTCAAACTGGAAATTGGTTGTACTATGCTTTATTTTCTTATTAGTCACTCAGGAACCTTCAGAAAGCCACTTGATGCCTAAATGGTTCATGCATTTCAAAGGGTTTATAATACAAAAATAATTTACAAAGAAGTCTAAGATTTTTTAATTTAGATGCTAAACAAATGCAAGGTGTTCCATGGTCAGTTAACAGGGAAGTGAAAAACTTGGAGGAAGCTTTATTTTATGCTTTTCTTTGGTTCAGTAATTTTATTTTTGCCTCAGTAAGCTTAAGAATCAGTGATCCTACTAATAACTGTGTTCAGTTCTTAACAATTCTGAGTGCTAAGGGAGATATTTTCAATTTTTTATTTTGTAATTTTCCCTCTATAAAATTTTGTTATATTTATTTCTGACAGTACTTCCTGTTAACTTATCTACCCCTTCTCTTTCTAAGACCCTGGGAAAGCCCCTGAAACCAAACAAGGGACTATAAAAGTTGTAGCACAAGGTAAGCAATAAAGCACTTTAAATTAAAGTGCTTTTTTTTTTTCCTACTCACATACCATTTTATTGACAGAAGCAAAAGCTGTTTATTGCCAAACAGCACCATCTGCTGGGTTCTTATAGAAAACATTGCATTGTTACATGAAGGCACACTCTTCAAGTATTTATTTAGTAACTGGAGAAAGCATGACTAAGACAAACGCCAAATTTGCAGAGGAACCACTGAAGGGGTCAGGAATTGATATCTTGACTCCAAGTTTCAGTCATGGAGCTTTTACTTATATTTTCAAAAATGAACCATAGATGATAGATGATAGATAGATAGATAGATAGATAGATAGATAGATAGATAGATGATATATAGAGATTTATAAATGATATAGATTTATAAATATACTTTCTAATTTGTGTCATATTAGGAAAATCTGTCAGAATTTTTTTTAAAATTAATATTACTTCATCTGTATACCAAGACTGCAAAATCAGATTCTAGATATGATTACAAAAAATCACCCTAGTTTTTATGAGCCACCTGAGGAAATCCATTTACAAATATATTTGGGGTATAAGAGTGGTGTTTTTAAAGAAACCTTCAGGAAAATATTGATTCTTCAATTCAGCAGTTTGGGAAAAGTACTTCTTTAAAATAATTTTGTTATATTTTTTAGCTATCATCTACAGTCACATTCTTTGAAAAAGCTATTCTAACTCCAGGGTCCCAACTCAAGAGAATGGAATACAATGAATTATGACCTTGATGCTCAAACCAAGAATAGTAATATTATGCAAGTACAAGGATGGGTACAAATGTCTACCGTTGTCATCTTTGAAAACTTTACAGAACACACCTAGGGAAAATAGGGAAAATGTTTATTGGAGAAAAATATTTATTTTTCTCCCCTTTGCTGCATTACACAATGTCGAACATTTAAGGAAATGCATTTAGGTTTCTGGGCAGAAGACCCTCATAACAGACTGCTTACCAGATGACGTGATTGCATCTGGCCAAAATTTTACTGTTATATTTAATCCTGGGCCCAACTATATACAAAACCACCCTAGTAAATATTGGCAAAATGGGCTGGCTAATTGCCACTTGATACAACATGTTTTTATAAGCAATCTATAATAATAAAAGCATGATATGCTAATTAGACCAGACATCATTCTGGATGAAGCTAGGGCTGAGGGAAAGCCCTGGTCCTGGGTGCCAAAGCGAAGTTGATGCTGGCAGGCATGAGAAGGAAGGCTTACTCTTGCACGAATTTGTGCATTGGGCCTCTAGTATTTGATAAAATGGTTAAGAGCAAAGATGTAGGATTTTAGTGTTCTTTTGATGATCAGGTTGTTCAAGAAAACCGATTCTTCTTTACAGGAGTTCTGATAGAGAGTGCAGCAAATGTTATGAAAGGTAGAAAGGCAGGGCAAATATTATCACTGTTGTGTTTTATATTCAAGAAAATGCAGCTCAGGGTGCCTTCCTCAAGCACGTGACCACTAGTTCAAGGGAGCATTGCAGTTAAGGTATATAGTTCTTATAAAAAAGCACAACCATGCCGAAACCGGTTTGGCTCAATGGATAGAGCGTTAGCTTGAGGACTGAAAGGTGGTCCCAGGTTCGATTCCGGTCAAGGGCATGTACCTTGGTTGCGGGCATATCCCCAGTAGGGGGTGTGCAAGAGGCAGCTGATTGATGACTCTCATCGATATTTCTAACTCTCTATCTCTCTTCCTTCCTCTCTGTATAAAAGCAATAAAATATATTGTTTTAAAAATTAAAAAAAATAAAAAGCACAACCATCTGTCTGCACTGAGGCTTCTGAGGGTCACAGGGGAAATGGAACTATAGCTTAAGGCAGGAAGTTAGTATTATTATATTTCAGCCTCATCATAGAGGAGGAGAAATTGAAGAGATAATCTGGAAACTGATTTCAGATTTGAGTTTGGACCATAGGCTCTTCATTTTTATATTTCAACTACATTGGACAAGGCAGGATCAACTTATTTTTTTTTTCAGAATAAATAATTTATTATCGAATGAATAGTAACCTAGAGTTTCAAAAGCTTATTACATTAGTCCTTTTTAAGAAAATTAGATGGAAGTGTTGATTAAGCACAGTGTAGAGGCAAGAGGTAGGGCTATACACCTACTTATTAATTTGACTTCTTACCTATGTGACAATATATTTTATATTAATTTTTGCTTTATGTTTTTATCTCAATTAAAAAAAACCCACCATCTTATAACATAAAATGTTAAGGTTATTTTCTTATTTCAGATTTGTATGGGTTAAATCCATTGAATTTATGAATATGTGGAATATATTCTCTTATTCCCAGGAATATTCTGAGGAATGGTCATTTAATATGTCTAACATTATTTTCTTTCTAATATTTCAGCAGCAGCTAAAAAAGATGAAAAGAAGGAAGGTATGTTTTATGAAAAGTTCCACTATGCCTTTTGTGTGAACAGTTTAACAGTTTAAGCTCTGGGATGAGCTAGTATAAAGGTACTATAAGGAGGATGTTGGAGAGGTAGGGGGTGGGTGGCCAATGTGATTCGACAGCCTGTGTCTGCTGATGGTTGCTTATCGAAGTTTACCCTCCCACAGAGATGGGGATAGAGGGGCACTAACTCCTTTGATGATTACATTTCAAGGGGATGTGTCATAGGTCTTGAGCAAGATATTTCTGGTTGTAGAAGATTTATATTTCAAAGGGACGGAGAAAGAATTTATAATGCAAGCTTTCTAAAGTAAATGCGCTAACAAATGGAGGTCTGGGGCCTAGAGTCAAGAAGAAGCCCATTTTAGTTTAGTCAAGCTAATGGGAATGTTAAAGTCATCTCAACCATTGGGATTCCGGTTAGAGAGATGTTTCTAATGCGCCCTGACAGCACTTAGACAAAGTCTCTGGTTATCACCATTGTTTATAAATCTAAGCTTATTTTCTCAGTAAAAATAACCTGTAGATATAAGCAATCATTTCTAACTTTGAAAATGACATCTATATTCTAGCTAGAGGCCCAGGGCACAAAAATTTGTGCACTTGGGGGAGGGGAGTGTCCCTCAGCCTGCATCCTCTTGTAGTGTGGGAACCCTGGGGGAATGTCTACCTGCCCACTTAAGCCTGCTCCCCAGGGGATCGGTCCCAGGTTGGCAGTCAGACATCCTTTTGGCAGCTCAGGAGCCCTCCGGGGATATCCAACTGTGACTTAGGCCCACTCCCCATCAGTTAGACATCCTTAGCCATCAGCCCAGCTTGTGGCTAAAGGATGCTACCCCTATGGGAGCGCACTGACCACCAGGGGGCAGCTCCTTCCTTGAGCATCTGCCCCCTGGTGGTCAGTGCATATCATAGCAACCAGTTGTTCCACCCTTAGGGTAAATTTGCATATTACCCTTTTATTATACAGGATTAGTGTTTAGATAATCTGAGAAAAATAAGAAAGCAAGTGTTATATTTATATTTAGTGACATTAGAGTTTTATAAAATCATAATGGCTTAGGAGTCACATTCTATTTCTGTTAAACATGGATCTAAGAGTCAATAGTCATGGGAGAGAGAAAATATTTTAGTTGATCATCATTTGTTTAAAGAGAACAAAACCATCTCTACTAATAAAAGGGTAATATGCTAATTAGACTGGGAGACCTTCCAGGAGACCTTCTGGATATTTTTCTGGACAAAGCCATGGTGGCAGGGCCAAGGCAGAGGTGGTTAGGGACATTCAGGTCAAGAGGGGAGGGCAGTTGGGAGTGATCAGGCCAGCAGTGGGGGGAGGGAGGAAGTTGGGAGTGATCAGGCAGTGGGGAAGGACAGTTGGGGGTGAGCAGACTGGCAGGTGGGGTGTTTATGGGTGATCAGGCCACAAGGGAGTCACAATTGGGGGTGGTCAGGCTATCAGGCAGAGTGGTTAGGGGAGATCAAGCAGGCAGGAAGGTGAGTGGTTAGGGGCTAGCAGTCCTGGATTGCGAGAGGGATGTTCGACTGACAGTTTAGGCCCGATCCCCCAAGGATCCCAGATTGGAGAGGGTGCAGACTGTGCTGAGGGACACAACCCCCATGCACGAATTTCATGCATTGGGCCACTAGTTTATAATAATAAAAGTCTAGTATGCTAATTAGACTGGACATTCTTCCAGATGACCTTCTAGATGAAGCGGGACCTGTGAGAGAACCCCGGGTCCTACGTGCCAGAGGGAAGCCAGTGCCAGCAGCTGGGGGACCAAAAGCCTACTCTTGCACAAATTTTGTGCATTGGGCCTCTAGTAATATTATAATAAGGTTAACTAAGACACATTAAGGTGTTTGTTATCCAGAGATTGAAATCAGTATTAATTCCCCCATAAACACATAGCAAATATTTCAGTGTATTTTGGAAATGATATAATTTATATGATGACTTGTGGTGAGTGTTCAGAGACCTTACAAGGAAAAAAAGGCAGTAAGTTCCTGCCACAGTAAATCCTCAAATATGTTCATCTTTCGTCCATCACTTTTTATTAGGAATAAGAAATAATTTACCTTTTTATTTAACAAATATGTTCATCTTTCGTCCATCACTTTTTATTAGGAATAAGAAAGAATTTACCTTTTTATTAAACTAACTATTTTATTAATAGTTAGTTTGTTATTCATTGGCATTCAAACATGTATTTTAAAACTTTTGGGCATATGAAACCATAGTCAAAGTACAATTGCATAGTTTTAATCTTTTTATATATATTTCTCAATGCTATGCTCAATGTTCTTGTTATATTTTTTCTGGATTATATACATTTTTTTATTTTTTAGAAATTGTCCATGTGCAATATGCAATATTTGGAAGTGTTTGGAAATATTTGCCTATAGAGATTCATGTATTCCGGTAAAACATATAAAACATATATCCCTGAACATTTATTAATATTATCATTTAAGAAATGATTATATTTGAGAAAAAATATCTATCTACAATAATTTTTATTGTTCCCAATATATAATAGGAGAATAGGCTTAATGTTCAGCTACTCTAGGCAGTCATTGGATTTTGTTTCATGTGCAGAGAGGAAAGCTATATAGACATCAGCTTCTCAGTTCCTGTTTCTATCATCTCAGTAAAGATCACAGATATATTTCCCACAGGGACAGGGAACATATGCCTATTCAAATAAGGCACATTTATAACAAATACCAGATACAATTTGTATTTTCAACATTACACAAAGCTTATTTTACACAAAGTTTATTTCTATTCACATTCAGACTTTTTGGACATTCTTCAAAGATACTAATTACTGACAACTTTTCTGGAGAAAGAGAAAACGAGAAGGATTTTAGGAATTGATTTAGAATGCTCTTGAGAAATTCTTTTGCTGGTGAATTTTAAAATACAGAAACAAACATGCATAACAACTTTCTTAATATCAAAGGCGATCTGTGCATTGGGCCGCAAAGGGTTTCTTGCATTAGTGAACTCTGAAAAATTTGAGTTTCATGTGCAGATTTTACCCCCAGCCTGGTTCATTGCAGAAACCTTGGCTCCATGAGCTTTGCCCATCAATGTTCCTATTTTGGGGAATTTGGGTCTCAGAACAACCATATCTTAGCCTGAGTGGAATGGCATTATTGAATAAATGTTCAACTGAGGTCTTGCTTTGACAAGCCTGTCTCTACCAAGGTTTCCCCTGGATACCACTCCTCCCCATTCAGACACTTTCCTCATCATCAATTAGCAAACCTTCTGCCTTACTCTCTGTTAGGCTCTCAACATCGGCCCCAATAAAATTGTGTTTTTCTCTCTAAAATGTGCTTATTCTCTATCACCTCTTATGTAATGGTCCTGCTGTCGTTATAGACGCCGAGACTCAAATTCTGGCGTAAGAGTTAACCTCTGTTTTACCTTTGCCTCTGACAATTAGTCCTCAGAATTTTTAAATGGCCTGAACTCTCCTATGTTTAATCCTTCCTAAAATAATTAGGAAAGCTAATCTTCACTCACAACCTCCAGCCCTCTAACGGTGACCTCTCACTGATATTAGACTTCTCGTGTGAACCAAGGAAATGATGCCTGAAATTAAAGGTTTTCAATGTGTGGTCAAGGACTTCGGAGGGTCACTGAGACCCTCTCAGTGGATCTGCAAAGTTAAAACTATTTTTATGAAAATCATGAAGTCATCGTTTCCTTTTTACATTTCATCCTCCCATGAGTGTGCACTGGAGTGTGCCAGAGATTACATAATGTGTGATATTGCAAGAGATTCAATATAAAAGCAGTTATGTAAATCCAACTGACTTCTCAGCAAGCCTCATATTAATGAGAGTTGCAAAATTATGAAGCAACATCACTCATCTCATTATTTTTTTACAGAAGATAGACTAAAGGCTTTAACCTACAATTAAACTCCCTACAGTCTGCCTCTTGACCTCCCATCATGCACACATGTAGGCAAAGGCAAAGCCAAGGCCTGAATTGTTCTACCTGTGAAGATACAGTGAGCCCTTCTGAGACTGAGAAAATCATGGTCAGCCAAAGCGAGAGTAGCCAAAGTGCCAGATATTCGTGGTTCTTGTTCCACACACCAAACGGGATGATACCTAAAGAAAAGAGGCTAGATATTGCAACACAAACCAGGAACCCTTCACTGCAGAGGAGGCAATTCCATATTACAGCCAAATGGTTTTAAAGTCTGCTGCTCTGTTACAAACAGATCTAGGAAGGAGAACCCATGAGGTGATGAGAAGAAAACTCTCATGCCAGTCTCCCAGGAGAGATAGGGATACATGTGGGAGATGGCCTCACAGCAGCTCCTCACAGCATCCTCCCTCAACTCTGATTGACTTTAAGGCTTTTGAGTAAAGGGACCATGTTTAATTCACTTTTATCCCCTACAGAGACTAAAACATTTCCTCACTTTACACGTCACTCAACAAAGATTCATTCTGTGAGTGAAGCAATAATGTAGGACTCAAGATAAATATAATAGCCAAAAGAATTATGAGTAGGCACTTAATTTTCATATCCAGGCAAAGAAAATTCCTTTTTATTATTGGGAGTTATTGTCCAGTGAGCATTTCAGAGCTGGAAAATTATAGTCAATCATTGGCAATTTCATCTCTGATGTATTTGATCACTAGCTTTTATTTGGGTTGCACTAGCAGATCTCAGTAGATCTCATCCAGTGAACTACAGCTTCTTAATGAATTCCCACATAGGTTATCTTCTTAAAAGATACAGCTCCACTGAGAACTAGCCAGATTAGATTTATTGTTTCCCATAACCGAAACACGAGGAAGTAGAGTAAAATGCAAAAATTCATGTGAGAATTAGTCTCAAGTTCCAGGGTTTCAGAACTGGAGGAATAATGCTGAAAAACAATGCAAAATGTCTGGTTTTGGAATTGGACACATATGTCAGTTGGCTAAGTTTCACAGAGTAGATGGGTACTTCATTACCAACATTATTAGACTACCAGAGAGTTAACATTTCCCTTCAATGTCAATTGGTATTCCTTCTGGCATCACTTATCGAACATAACAGACCATACCTGGTACATTACTAAAGTTGAGTAAGTGATGAATTGGACAGATTGCAAACACATCACTACTTTTGAATAACAGCTGCTGCAGGCCTCGATGTTCTTAATAAAAGGCTTATTCAGATTGTTGGGCAGATGGTTTTTAAGGAAGTGTAGTCACCAAGTAAGCCTTTCTGATATTTTTTAGCTGTTTTGGCAGAGTGCTGAGAGGGCATAATGAAGTTTAATAGCATGAGTATTAAAGGCTAGTACTTATAGCTCTTCAAAGTCAGACTGTGATCTTTCAATTGCAAGCATTATATTTTTTTGGTTGCTTGAGTATTTTACTTGTGTAAGTCTGCTGCTCTGTTGTCTCCAAAAGATGATTTTTTTAATGGCATCACTTTAAGTTAATTTAACTGTGATTTCCTGTTCTTACATGCAAATATAACAAACTTTTTAAAGGTCTAGTTCGATAGATCATGGCTTGTTATTTTTTACATTTCAACTTTATGAAATATTTTTTTATCTCAATAAGTGTTATACTTCACCTGACCCTGAACTGCATATTTTTTTCTTTCATTTTAGTACAATTGCTATTTAGTACAATATATTATCAATTCTTATTAGTAGGAAGTAAACAAATTTAAAACAATAAACATTTATAGATGTGCATATTGTAGTTAGCATTCTACACCTATCTCATGCCAGCATCTAGTTGGAGAATGGGGCTTTTGGAAATAACCTGTCCTAATCTGCCACATTTATCCTCTGTTTCAACATTACTCCCAAGCTTTATTTCTATTGTGTTCCTAAATAACGATGGGTTCCTCATGATCTGCTTGTGTTTTCCATATTGGCAGCATTCTGGGCTCAAAAGATACTCTGTGAGGATCACATGACCTCTTGGGCAGGCAGAAATCCTGCTCCATTATACAGGTGCCAAACACATTGAAAAGTTATGATGGCCATTGAACTATCATCCACTTCAGACTTGCAGCTGCTGTGCTATAGAAATCCATGTCTTTAAACAGAAGTAGGCACTATATATTGTTAATATATAGTTAGGTATATGACAAAGATGATATCATGTTCTTATATAAAATTATCTAATATGATATTTTTCAATATGTTTAAAGTACCCACTTGATCAGAATAATTATTCATGAAGGAAAAGAATGGGAAAGTGCTTGCAAAGCACTTGTGTTTTAGACAGCACATTTAGCCTAATCCCGTGGTCAGCAAACTTTATTTTTTTTATATTTTATACTTTAAAAAGTTTCTCACTTCCTATCTTATTCTCAGATTCAACCTCTTAAAATATTTCTCTTTAAGCCCTAAGTTCTAAAAATATATCATGTAACCAATCTATTTTGTTGAAAATGATTTCAAGGTGAATGAACATTTTGTTGTGAGCTAATCAGTTGTTGATTGAACTTATCTGCTTTATTAATAATTTATCTTTGTGTTTCCAGATTCCAAGAAAACAAAAACATCTGCACAAGGTATTGGAAATATTTTCTGATTCTGTCTTATATTTGATGAACGCCCAAATAGCCTATTCTTTAAAAGATTAATGTAGAAAAAACCTATACATAAAGGAAAGAGGAGAGAGGAAAAATATTGTGCTGGAAAAAGAGAAAGAAGAAGAAAAAAAAAGAGTCGAGTCTTTTCTGATAATACTGCTCTGAGAAATATTTGGCAGTAATAAAAAAAAATAAAACTGTATATGTTTACCTTTCACAGTAATTGTTTTCAAAGATATATTTGCTTGACAAAAAAAAAAAATTGAACAATGCTTAGTACCAAGCTTTTATTTCACTGGAAAGTACAAATTCAATTAATCTTTGATACACCAGCATTAAATAGGAAACTAAATAGTTGTTTTGTGTTGAACAGAATCATAACTCATAGCAAGTACATCAGTTTCTTCTGCATTTATTCATATGTGTTTTTGTATTCACATGTATTTATAAATACTGCAAGGTATAAATTATTAAAAGTGGTTAGATATTTGGTCCTAGCTTAATTCATTGTTGAAGAGTGTATTACAATCAAATTAAGTAAAAACCTATAATAAGCAGCAATATCTCAGAGCAGCACTCATTGTGAAATTTAAGGGAAGAGGATGAGGGAGATGATAACATTATATTCTAGTCATTGTGTCTGAGAAGTGAACTTTATCTTTAAAGTTTTTAAGAGAAATGGTTTTCTTTCAACAGAACAACCCAAGGGAAAAAGTAAGGAAATGCATGAAAATACATTTGTTTGTTTTTCTCTGAACTACTATAACTACCTGCTGACACATGTAGAGTTGCCATTTTCAGTTTCCCCTTTCTACATTTTATGCATGTGAATTGTTTTTTTTAAATATATTTTTATTGACTTTCCACAGAGAGGAAGGAAGAGGGATAGGGAGCTAGAAATGTCAATGAGAGAGAATCATCGATCAGCTGCCTCCTGCACACCCCCCACTGGGGATGTACCCGCAACCAAGGTACATGCCCTTAACCAGAATCGAACCTGGGACCTTTCAGTCCGCAGGCCGACGCTCTATCCACTGAACCAAACCAGTCCTGGCTATTTGTTGTTTTTTTATCAAGATGAAAAAATACACAACCTGGGGTTGGGGAGGGACAGTGTGAATGGCAAGGCATGCTATATTCTCAGAGTCCCTTTTTAAACTCATAAAATAATCTAATAATATTATCCATAGCCTCTAACCTACACTACAACTGCATCCATTAACCATAACTGTGGGTGTAATTTAGTCCCTATAATCTGGTTAATTCTGTCCTTAGCAAAGGCTGAATAAAAAATTCTTTTACAGACTAGTTTTACAACTTCTATTTATTTCTTCTCGTAATCCAAAATACCTTGGCATGTTTCCATGATTTATAACACTTTGTCCATAACATAAATTTTCCTCCAAGTGCCATTCTGGGCTCTGTGGAATACCATTGCTTGGGATCCATATCTTAGGCAGCACTTGTAGTTGCCTTAACACACAGTACTAAAGCTATTTGCTAACAATTCAGTAAAGCCTTGAGGCCATGTCCTTTGCAAACATACACTCTCCTCTAACAGGACATAATTAAAAAATAGAAATAACCTAGCCTTGACCATATTGAATTAGCATTAGAAATCATCACATTTCTAGGTTTATAAAGATTTTAAAGACCCCAATAATATGAAAAGCATTTTTTAAAATGTACACCAATTTTTTTTTTAAATATATATGCATGACTTGGTTCTGCAAAAGGTCAGGACACTGAGAAAGTCTCTGTCATAAAAATGCTCGCAAATATCCTGTGGAGAAAACCATGAAATTATACTATGGCTCAGCCAGGGGGAGCAATCTCTCTGTAAAGAAGGTTGTGATTTATGTGTGTGCAAAGCGGCTGAGGAGCACTGGCACAGGAATACAGAAACCCCTCTATAAACCATTGCACCAACAGGAAATGAGACATTACTGGGGATTTAAAAAATGGTATTAAATTATGCATATTTATATATTTTTATATATAGGGATATATATATATATATATATATATATATATATATATTCTTAAAGTCCTCACTTCTTCGCAGTCTATATGATTTAAAACTTCCTGCAGATTTGCTGAGGATCCTTGGCCATCTCCATTCAAGGCATTGATGTATATAAGTAGAGACTCCTTCTTAGAAGTTCATTTACATCTCAACTGCTTTCCTCTTTGGAAAGATCTATGGATTTTGAATTGGACAGTAATAAGGAAAAGAAAAAGATCTTTCCTCTAAACAACTATTAATTCTTTTCAAATTAATATATTTTGTTCTGGTTTATCATCACAACATATCTTTATTATTGTTATTGTTACATTTTTACATTTGTTTGATTTAGGGTGTTGTTTGTCTTTAAGATTAATCAATTAGACATCTCCAATCCTATTTTCTTATTTTGTTCCTACTTTTCCAGTTAACACAGCTTAAGAGGCTGTATTTTGTCTTCGTTTAAAAATAAACCATGTCATGGTAGGGGACACAAAGTGAAGAACACATGAGAACCTCCTGTACATATTTTTGTAAATTCCTTATAATTTTTTCAAAAAAAACAAAAGAAGAAAGAAAAGAACTCAAAAATATTTTCATGCTGTTCTGTGACAGAACTCTGATAAGGGAAATAGAAGGAAATACTTGTTCTGAATATATAATATTAGTCTTTTTACAGAAGTTATTGCTTGCCACAGTCCTGCATAGCACATACACGTTACTTTGTGTTAAAATAATTAAGTTTGGACACACAAAATTGTAATAATATTAATAATAATAATAATAATAATAATAATATGTTTCAGAACAGGAAAAGAAAGAAAAACATACCGAACCAGGTAACTGTTTTCAATTGCCTCTATCTTTCTAATTTCAAGATATTATTTCATTTGCAGTAAAATACTGATTTGTGATCTAATAACATGAAATGTTGACCTTTTTTCTTGTCTTGTTTGATATAGCAAAGCCACCGAAGAAGGAACATTCAGGTGAGTCAGGCCAGAGTTGCTGGGTTCTTTCTACCAGATGCCCAGTGTTGATTAATGCTGCAGCTCAGGCGGGCAGTGAGGGCCATGACAGGAGAGGGCAGGAAATTCTTTCTTCTATCTCACTCCCCACCACCCCGACTTCTTCACATCGAGTTAACACTACCAAAGGTTTAGACAATGAAGGGCAAATATTACATGACACTCTTGCTACTCAATATATACTGTGAACCAGCAGCATCAGAACCACCTGAAACCTTACAAGCAAAGCAGAATCTCTGGTCCCCCTCCAGGCTACTCAATTAGAATCTGCGACCTCCTATGATCCCCAGTGTCTGAGAAGCACTGTTTACAGTATAATACAAAAAAAATTGAAAATAAAATAAGATCAAATGCTGTTTGTAATTGTGTCTGGTAATGCTTTGCTTTTAAAATATGAAATATTCAATGCAACTGGTGTAGCTCAGTGGTTGAGCATCAACCTATGAACCAGGAGGTCTCAGTTCAATTCTCAGTCAAGACATGTGCCAGGGTTGCAGGCTCGATCCCCAATGTAGGGCATGCAGGAAGTAGCCAATCAATGACTCTCTCTCATCATTGATGTTTCTATCTCTCTCTTATCTTCTCCCTTACTTTATGAAATAAATAAAAATATTTTTAAAATATATGAAATATTTCATTTAAGCAAATATTCTCTCCCTATTCCAAATGTTATGTAATGGCATTGCTTAAGTACTCTGGCATTTCAATGAGAGGAGAGTAGATTTTTCCCTGAATGTATTTATAGTCTAAAAGTAGAAAATTGAATTGGTAATCAGACAACCAGAAAAATAAACATTAAAAAACCCAAAAACTAAAAATGCAATTAGTATAGATATAAAATGGTTTTCTAAAAAGTTTTAGCATTGAATTTGCCCTACTAGTGGTTTTAATGAAAAAATATGCAAATTTCTGAAAATTTTTATTGTCCTCATTTTAAAACATAACCTGTTGATTTTGCCTGGCAAACTTCTACTCAAAGAACTTCACTGATTTTTCTTGAGTCTACTAGTCGCTCCTGCTATTTTATTGCGTTTCAATTAAAATAGCATTCACTTAATATTATGTAAATAACCATGCAAATATAGTTTGGCTATATTGTTACCTGTTCCATAGACCACAAGCTGCCACAGGTTTGAAATCATATTTCTTAATCTTCTTGAACTTCATAATTTTCCTCAGACAACCCAAATCCATTTATGTGTCTCTCCAACTAATTCTCATAGTATCATTTTCTTTCTTTTGTAAAAACACTTATATAATCATGTTACCTTTTATTTTTTTCACTTTAACTATAATTTAGAGGTTAAGGATTGCCTTTTTATATCTCAATTCCCAGAGTACTCATTCTGAAGTCAGCATATAGTGGACACTTGATAATGGTTGATTGAATGGAAAGAGAAATATCAAGTAGAATAAGTACATTTATTTAAAGCATTTAAATATGAGTAACTTTCAAATAATTTACCATATGAAATAATTACACATTTAACCACTTCATATAAACATTGGCATTACTTATCCTTTCAAAGGGAATATTTTTGTTTATCTCACAGAAAACAGACTATTTGTTTAAGGGTAATATTTCCACATATTCTCACTTATTCACCCATACGCATAAAGCTAAAACAAAGCACCAACACAGAAGCATAGAGAAGCAATAGAATGATTATGAGTATAATCAGTTTTAAGAATTTTAATAGCTTAACATTATTGTCTCATTCTGAACTTGACAAAATACAATTATTTAAATTCTTTAAAATCATTACCTGCTCTGTCTAGGCGTTCATGATAATGTAGAAGCTTAACAATAATTAGCTTTATTTTAAAATTTTATACCATTGGATAATTTATCAATTCAATTCATTTATTTTTTATTTTTATTTATTTATTTATTTATTTTGGAGCTTACCAATTTGACGTTTATTTTAGACCACGCTCTGCATTGTGCAGGCCTTTTGCACAGACAGGTGAAAAAACTTTATACTACAAACTGTCAAGATTATCACTAATTGAGATGCTAAAACACAGATTTACATTAAATTCCCGATTCCACACAAGTGCTCCAGCCTTTCCAGCATCACTGAGCTACCCAGGCCAGGCTGTCTTTCTAGTTTCCCTTGTAAAATGAGGACAAGGATGGAAACGTCTCCTTTGCATGACTATGAGGATTGCAAGGGTCCTAGATCATAGTTGGTTCTCCTGTGGGAGTCCTCGTCGCCGTCCCGCTGTGTGTACAGCATTTGTCCTCCCATCAGTTTATTTTTTATACCATTTTATAGACTTCAAGAAAAATGAACTGGCTTGTATATGAAAACAATAAGATTCTTAGATATTTTAGAATGGAAAACAGAATGAATAAGTTATGAATGAGCATTCTATGTTGGGAGAAGAAATTAAATTTGAAAAAAGAATTATGGTCTGTGGCATATATTTAAATAAAGTACATCAAAGAAATGACACAATGTTGCATTTTCTCCTCCTCAAACCTATTTTTATTAGCTTCAATTTAAAAAATGAAAATAACCTTAAAAATAAGTTAAAGACAGATAGATGTGTAATTAATGTAGACATTATTTCTTGTCTTTATCAGCTCCAACTGAAAAAGAAGTAAAAGCAAGTATGTTGAATAAAACATTAAAAAATAAGCTTATTTTAGCAGCTTACTCATTTAAGTTTTCTGTTATAGATAACGCTAATGCTGATTTTTAAAGCTGGCTTACCAAATATTTCTTGCTATGTCCATTTAATTTGTTGAAATAACATGCATAAACAGTTAACTTTATATTTTCTGTAAATTTATTCTTATTAAAATGTCTCTTAGATTTTCATTTGTAAATGTTAATTTGTCCAGATCAGTGTTTCCCAAACTTTTGACATATGTGTACCCCTTCTATAATTTTCATAACGCTGAGTACCCCTCATACTCATGAGAATGTAGAATTAGGCACAACTCAGCATGGTGCAGTGCATATCCCCACCAAACTCTTCCCTGGGGGTATGCGTACCACACTTTGGGAAACACTGGTCCAGATCATAATCCCTTTTTGTATTTTTGTTTCCCCTTTCTGCAGAATGTTAATTGATCTCTTCAGCCTCTTAAACACATCAGACTTAATATTTCTAACGATTAATTACTTGATCAAACCAGTAGGCAATGTAATTTGTCTACCAGTGAAGTCATTTTGTCTTTAATAAAATGAAGCTCTCCAAATTTTATTAATTACTACTGTTGTAATATCATAGTTTTCCTTTTAATGTCTGTATCCTCGCATTGTAAATATTGACTGAAAACTATAACATACTATAGCATCTGCTTCAATAGTAGCAAATACTCTTAGGGAGAAATGCTAATTATTTTGTCAGTATTTCTTAATTCAATACCGAAACTAACAGACTGTTATTAATAAAAATAATTTTGGCATAATTGCATATTAGCATAACCAATGGAAGCAAGACACTGATGTGGGGTGGGGGCAATGGGGAAATATGGACACATAATGTAATGCCTTAACCAATAAAAATATTGGAATATAATAATTTTAGAAAAAATATACTTTTAGATTCTCTAAGCTTTTTGTATAAGAATTTATAGTTAAACCTGGATTGTATGCATAATGTGTTTATATATTTTTGTTTTCAGTAGCTCCATCAGTATTAAAAATAAAACTGATACATAAAGCAAATTCATTTTTTAATTTAGTGCTGGGTTTTTGAGATAGTATATGATTTATGAATCTATCAAAGAAAATTTGAAATTGTAATGTTGAGTAACTTATTGAAAATTTCTTTAAAAAATTACACATAGAAGTGTTCATATAGTCATAGTAAACTTTAAAAGAGGTTTATATGAACTTTAAGTTCCATTTATATTTCATGAAAAATTTTAGCTAATATAAATCTGGAACTTTATATTATGAAGTCTTTAGGATGCTAATATTTGGTCTATAGAAATGCATTACCAGAAATATATATAAAATAGAACTTATTACTTTGCAATTTTAGTAGAAAACTTTAGATTGATTACTCTGAAATAAACATTTTCTTCATAAAAATCATAACGTAGATAAAAATATTCATTTGCATTAAAAAAAACATTATAAGTTCTGCTATCTGTGAAGCACACTATCAGATCAAGTTTTGAAGATATCAGCATCATTTCCACAAAATTAAATTACCAAATCATCTTCAACCCAATATAAAAGTTGCAAAATAATTCATATTTAACTCCTTATATTGTTGAGAGATTTGGTCTTTACATGGATATTATCTCTCAAGATAAAAATTAATTAGGGATAATTTATAATTTTTTCATTATCTACTAACAATGTAACCAGCCATTTTCTCTCTGGGAAAAACATTTGTTTGGCCTTAAAACCATATTATGGAATTTTTATTTTTACATGCTACTATATACAATAGGTTGTGTGTAAAGTTAATGACTAAGGTAAAAATTGCATATCATTACAAATACTTTTAAAATTTCTTAAATCACCTATGTATTATGGTGTACATAGTTTTGTGTATAAATTTTAACATTCAAGATATTAATGTCATCATCTTAAATTATGAAAGAAATTGAGAAAGTGCAATACATAGTTTAGTGAACATAAAGTGTGTATGTGATGCATTTCCATGGTATTGAATTTTAAAAGATAGGTAAGATTGACTGGGTTAGAGCAAGTGCATGGAAAGAGTATGAGGTTATATATTATTAGCACTCACTTCAATGGAATAGCTAGAATGGTGATTGAGTTTGTGGTGTGAAATTGTTTAGGCCCTGAGGAAGGGAAAATACTGAAGAACACAGACAAGCTTGAGATCTATTATTTTCCTTTGGGTGACAGAAAACCAACTTTAATTAGCCTCTCTCTCAAAGCAATCAATATTCAAATAAATGTTGTGTTATAGTATGGCTAATCTCTTATAATGCAAAGCTAATTGATTGATGTCAAATACTTCTTGATATACCATCATTAAAGGCCACATAAAGAAGGCCTTTCAAGTCCTCTTTCCTAAACTCATATCATTTTAGATGTAATTATAATCTATTAAATTAGTGTTCCAGTGTATTTTGTGGAATAAGCTACCTGCTTTTATGGTCATTGCTTATATAAGCTAAAATTTTGATATAGCATTGTGAAATCCTGGAAGAGAGGGTCTGTATTGCTACTTAAAGAAGTTCACAAGTTTATAAAAATACATGTGCGGCATAGTCTGACTTCCTCTGCTGCCTCTTTGCTCTTGGGTGCCACATACATTTTATCTTTTGGACAGTTTAGCCTTGTCTGATTTACAATACTGTAACTATCCACCTGGCATCTCTGAGGTATATTTCTCATGCTTTAATATCTGAATTTTGCAGAAACTGATCGAGCCAAGGAAGAGTCTGGTGCTGCCTCCACTAAAAAAGGTGAATGCAACTTAAAGAAAAAGGTGTCATGACTAAAACTTATTTCTGCACAGGTTTCTAACTTAATGTTTCATTTAGTGCTTATTAAAGAGCTCTCTATATTGATTTCACTGTTTCTTGATGTGGAAACAAACTCACTTTGCACAAGATTTATAGTGTCTCTATTAACAAGGTTTTGTCTTCCATGTTCTGAAGCCAATAGTTTCATTCCTTGGGGCCACCAACTAAAACTAGTAATTGCAGCTCAATTTCAAGTTAGTTTTTGAAAAATTGCAGAAATGTAGCCGTTCAAGTTCAATGGGATCCCAATCATCTGGAGAGAGCATTCAACTACAAAATACTGCCTGAGGTGGTTAGAGCCCCAACAAATGAAAGTTTGACTTACATGAACAACAGACATTTTGGGGAAGAATAATATCAGATTTTAAAATGTGTTCCTTGCAATGCTCACTTGGAAACACTTTGATTTAAGAAGCATATTGGAAAGTTTGCAATTTAAGTTTTCAAATGTATTTCTCTTGTCAGTGTCCCTTCTCATTTCCCATTAGGTTGTGGCTTCTGTTCCTACTGTGTCATTAATGCTCTTACTGATGCTGATGGTTATCATTACAAACCATAAAAACCATTCTAGCGCTCACATGACTAGATTTTTCAGTTACACTTACCATTTTGTTTTTTCTCTCCCTTTTGGATTATCATACCAACAGAGTCTGAGTTCTCCTAATATTCCCTGATATTTTTGTCTGACTTCTTTCTGTTTTGCCCTTTTCTATACCTTAATCATTGATGCTTCCAGATTCCATTATTAATCCTCTGGATTTCTCATTCTACAACCTCTCTTTGTTAAATATGCCCCCTCTCAAGGTTGAAGGAAACTCTGTTACCAATTCTACATTGTCATTTCATGACTTCATGAAAATGCTTTTCAAGAAAATTTCAGCCTTGTATGTCCAAATGCCCATTAAATAGCTTTAAATTCAACCTTTTAAAATATATTTTATTGACTTTAGAGAAGGAGAGACAGATAAAAACATCAATGATGAGAGAAAATCACTGATCAGCCACTTCCCTCATGCCCTTTTCCCCACCCCACTGGACTGAGCCCCCAACCTGGGCATGTGCCCTGATCAGGAATTGGACCATGACCTCCTGGTTCATAGGTCAATGCTCAACCACTGAACCACATCAACCAGGCAAATACAACCTTTCTTAGCCAAATGCCTCATTTTATGTTATTTTTCTATCATCATTAATCCCCTTTATGCCCTGTTCCACTTCCACCCAATCCCCACCCTCTCCCTTAATCTGCTATCCTTGTCCATGAGCTCTCTCTCTTTCCTTTTATTCTCTTTCCTTTCTTTTTTTTTCCAATCCATTCAGTATTTGCCTTCTCACTATCTATGAATCTATCTCTATTTTGCTTGGTAGTTCAGTTACTTCATTCAATTCCACATATGAGTGAAAACATATGGTACTTGTCTTTCTTTGACTGGCTGATTTCACTAAGCATAATGCTCTCCATAAATGAGTGGATAAACTAATTTTCTCTTCTCAATTTGGAATTCATTATCACTGGTGAAACCACAATCCATTCTCCACCTTACTGGAAATCTGGGGGTGACTCATTTTTATTTTTATTTTTATTTCCTTCACTTAATATTCAAAGAATCTTCAAATTCTGCTGATTTTATTCCTGAAATATTCCTTGAATATATTTCCTTCTATTCATAACCATGCCTTTAATCTGTATTTAAAAATTCATTGTCTTATGTTTAACCATTACAACAATTTCACCACATTCCTCATCTTCTTATTTTTATTTCAGTAATATTCATCTTACCAGAACTCCCAGTACAATAAAAGTAAATTATCGAAGTCTTAAAACAGAATAAATCACTCTTAATTTAAAACACTCTCCCTACCTGGTTTGGCTCATTAGATCGAGCATTGGTGTACAGACTGAAGGGTTCCAGGTTCAATTCCAGTCAAGGGCACATACCTGGCCGCTTGCTGGCTCAATCCCCAGTAGGGAATGTGCAAGAGGCAGCCAATCAATGATTCTCTCTTCATTGATGCTACTCTCTCTCTCTCTCTCTCCCTTTCTCTCCTACATCAATTAAAATATTTTTAAAGAGAAAGAAAAAATATCTAAACAACAAAAACTCTCTTTTCCACAGTTGTCCATAAAATAAAGTCCAAGCTTGTTAAAATGATGTAAGAGTCTCTCAAGATCTGTTGCTTAGATCATTTTTAAACTTCCTCTTATGGAGCAGGACTTGCTTCAGTGGGGCTTTGGTGCTCACTGAGTTTGCTCCTTGAGTGTGTCACTTATGGATGTGAAGAGTTGTAATCTGGTATGGTCTGACACTGACCACTGGGTACACTGGCTCTTGGGCCTCCAGGGAGGTGTAAAGTCAGCCACTGCCTGGGGCCACCCAGCAGGAGCTACAGCGAGATCTGCAGATTCCTCCTCTTTGTATCAGTTTGGAGGTGCCCAGACAGGTCCAGTTGTGAAGTAAGGCAGGCTGCTGCTGATGTAGGTCTTGGGCCTTTTATTGATAGGTTTGGGGCTTCCTAACCCAGTTGAAGCTTGTTTGACAGGATTTTAGCTTGAGCAAGGACAGGCCATTTATATGCAAAAGCCATTTTACACAGCTTGGATGGGGTTGTAAATTAGGTGGAGTGGGGTCTCAAGGAATCACCAGGTTGGAAAAAACAGAAATGTCTGCCAGTCAGCCCTGTGACGGGGAGGTCCCCAGCATGGGAATAATGACCGCTGCTAGCACCTCTGTCTGTAAGAAAGCCATCCCCAAGTTTCTGCCTCGATTGCAGACAGTTTAATTTCTCCTCGGATTCCCCAGAGCCTCACCCTGGTGCTGGAGCTCAGAGGAAGTAGGAGCTTGTAAATTCAGTCCATGGTACTGGCTTTTTAAGGGGAGCAGCTGGGTCTCCAGCAGCCTGTGTGTCACTGAGTCCTACTCTGCAATGGTTTTTATAGCTGTAGTTCTTACTGCCATAGGGTCTTCTTTTCCCAGCTCTGGGACCCCTTGCTCCTCCCAGGTGGCCTCGGCATAGACCATCTTCTTCCTGATTAAAAAAACGGCCATATGGATGCCGGGCCAACCCATTCTGTGCCTCCACACCTCCTACTAGTCTTAGTGTGCTTTCTTCTTTACTTCTCTAGCTGTAGGACTTCCATTCAGCCAGATTTCTGGTGGTTCTCGTTGATGGTTGTTCTGTATTTTGGTTGTAATTTTGATGTAGTTGAGGGAGGCAGGAGTATAGGCATTTGCCTATGTCACCATCTTCGTTCTCTCCATTTCTTTTTTGGAAATTTTTTAAAAATAAATTTGAAAATTTTTAATTAAACCAATATTTTGAATCCATAATTATAATTCTACAAAGAAAAATTTAGCCCAATGGCTTCAGTGGTGAATTCTTTCAAACATTTAAGGAAATATTAACCATCTACACCAAACTTTCCAGATATAGAAAAATAAGAAACATTTACTCATTCAAACCTTAATATTAACACCTAACAGAAGCTGAAAAAGAAACAAAATATAAAGACTAACTTATTTTGTGAATATGAAGGCATAGACTTGAGCAGATCAAGTCTGATAATATATGTGCAAGATAAAATGCAAGCAAATTGGTTTATTTTAGGAATGGAATTTATTTATTTATTAATTTTAAAATATATTTTTGTTGATTTCTGAGAGAAAGATAGAGGGAGAAAGAAATGTCAATGATGAGAATCATTGATTTGTTGCCTCCTGCATGCCTCACACTGAGGATTGAGTCTCTAACCCAGGCATGTGCTCTGACTGGGAATTGAACCATGATCTGCTGGTTCATAGGTTGAAGCTCAACCACAGGGTCATGCTGGGAAGGCTTCAGGAATGCAACTTAAAAAAAAAATCAATGTAATTAACCAGAATAATAAAATTATAGTAGATGCATTTGATACAATTCATCACTAAAGTAGAAAGAAGCTTCCTTAATCTGTTAAGATATATTTTTAAAAACCAAATATCATACCCACTGGAGAAAAGTGGAAAGGTTTTCTCCTAAGAATTAGAACAAGACAAAGGTGTATGCTATCACCACTATTACAAATTGTACTGGCTATTGCAGCAGAGCAATAGATGAGAAAAAGGAATAATAGGTACAAGAATAGAAAAAGTAAGAATAAAACTCATTACTCACAGATGAAATTATCTACTTGAAAAATTCAAAAGAATGTGCAGATGAACTATTATAAATAATGAGTGATTTTATCAAGTTTTCTGTAAAAAGCAATTCTCTATCTATCTGGTTCTTCATATTAAATTTTAGAAAAGATCATGGCCACTTACATTGTATACATCTTCATTGTTCTGATTGTTTCTTCAGAATGCTGTTTAAAATGTTCTCAATATCCTGTACTTGATTAAGAAAGTTAAATCTTTAGCTTACCTGGATTCCAGTTGTTTTGTCAAGAATATTCTATAGGTTATTATATATATATATATATATATATATATATATATATATATATATATATATATATATATATAAAATCACAGTTCATTTCATTAGGAAGCAAATAATATGTCCTATCATGAATAAACTAGAGGCCCAGTGCATGAAATTCATGCATGGGGGGGGGTGTCCCTCAGCCTGGCCTGCACCCTCTTGCAACCTGGGACCCCTCAGAGGATGTCCAGCGGTCGGTTTAGTCCCTATCCAGGTATTCAGGATATGGCCGAAACTGGCAGTTCGACATCCTATTCACAATCTGGGACCGCAGGCTTCTACCCACTTGCCTTCCTGCATGCATGATTGCCCCTAACCACTTGCCTGCCTGCCTGTTCACCCCTAACCACCTCTGCCTCATCCCTGGATACTTTGACTTTGTCCAGAAAATCGTTCTGCTGTCTGGTCTAATTGGCATATTACACTTTTATTATTATAAACCAGAGGCCCGGTGCACGAAATTTGTGCACTGGGGGTGGGGGTTCCCTTAGCCCAGCCTGCACCCTCTCGCAGTCCAGGACCCCTCAGGGGATGTCCTAAGCCATCAGTCAGACATCCTTAGTGTTGCTGCAGAAGCCAGAGAGGCTTCCACTACTGCCACTGCACTTGCCAGCTGTGAGCTTGGGCTCAAGACTTCTGGCTGTGATGCTCCCCCTGTGAGAGTGCACTGACCACGAGGGGGCAGTTCCTGCATTGAGCACCTGCCCCCTGGTGGTCAGTGTGCATCATAGTGACCGGTCATCCCTCCATTTGGTCGATTTGCATATCGGCTTTTTATTATATAGGATGGTTCCAAGTTTCATCAATGAGTTAGACTGGTGACAAGCACATTTCTTTATTTCAAATTGCATATTTCCCCTTTGCCACTCTGTGAGGTAATACTTGGCTGTAATGACAATATTCAGTTCTTCACTCATCTTTCATCTAAAAGTTGACACTATCTTCTGAAGATTTTTACTTAAATCAATTATTTCAGTGTGGTACACTGATTTTGTGTGAATCATTTTTACTATTTTTTTCTTATAAATAAGTAAGTAGTGAATACTCTACTGAGACCAACAAGTCTCAGAGAAAGTATAGTTCAGAGGAAACAGCACCTACATGGCAATCTTTTTTCTCTTTTGGTTCCTTGCAACTTCAGTTAAGGTTTAAATAAATCTCAAGGATGACTACACTGTCTTGTCAGTTGATGCAGCTCTATTACACTTGAATTTAAAGCCACATCTAATTGACATTTTTAAGATGCTAAATAACTCCAGCAATAACCTTGAATGTAAGTTAATAGCTCATTGTCCTGTCAAGTGGAATTCTTTGTAGAGCATGTTTAGTGTTTATCAAAGCTGAGTATAAAAGAATAGTCAGAAAAAGTCAAGTGATTTTTCTCCTCTAATTCTACAACATTAGATTTAATATAGGTTTCAATTGGATTGTTGGGAAATAAGAAATGTTGAAAAAGCTTTGAAAACTAGCATGTTTGGGAGAAATAGTTGGCACTGAATAGGTAAAAATGTTTTTTTGTTGCTCAGAAGCACCATTTCTATCAGGAACTTTTACTTAAACATTATCTCTGCTTTGCAGGTGTCCCTGGAAAGAAAGAAGAGAAAACAACGAAGGCAGTGGAGCAAGGTAAAAAAAAATGAAGGAGGTTGACATTATCTTCTTTAGAGAGACACCAACATGAGGAGGAAAGCCCTGGATGCAGACAGGCGGAAGACAATAAGCTTTAAATCTATTGCTCCCTCTCACTGTCCTCCATGTTTTTCTGTGCCAGGGAGAACGTGAGGCAGCGATATGGGTTTTGCTCTTTTGTATAATTAAACTTGGAATATAAGTTCAGAACAGGGAAACTCTGCAGACTGCTTAATTACATCAGGAAAAACACTGAAGATTGTTGGGAATAAGGAAATGATGCTCTGGGGCAACTGGGAGACATTTTCCAGTTTGATTTGCAGTTTTAACAACACCTGACCAAAACCAGTTCAAAGAATAAATCTGAAACAATTCCATTTATGCAAAAACAATTTCTACGACATGTAATAGTTAAAACAAAGATAAAAAAGCAGCAATATAAATAAGTTGAGTTTCTATTATGACTTCAGCTACTGATTTCCCCAAGAGGTTTGAATTTTTAATTTTACCTGTCATAATATTATAAATAATGCATTTTAATTTTTGTTTATGCAGCTAAATAATACATATGTCACTCCAGAATATGCTTGAGAAAAATGCTATAGCAGAGTTAAAACATTTAAAATGATGTTAGGTCTTTTTGTTAGAAATCAGAGTTCTACTAATTTTAATAGTTGCCCCGACTCAAATTTTATGTTATAATATCAAGTTATTTGTTATTCACTATAATTAACAAATAAAATCATAACTAGCAATAATTTTGTTAAGAGTAAAGTAAAATCATTTATCCTCTTAAATTTGAGATGCAGTTAAATTTCTAATATCAGAAATTTAATATTTTATATATAAATATATTCTAATATTCTTCAATTCCTCACATTTTAGGCAAATAAACTAAGGTTAAGGATTCAGTTAAGACAATTATTCAAGGATTTATGTCTTTGGTCTTTTTTAAATAAAAATCACATTAGGGAAATGTTTTCAAATTAATTTTGGCTTCTGAAAACTACCAGGAATGTGAGAGAATGTTTCTGTCAACTTCTTTTTGAAGTGAGCATTTTAGTCTCTGAAATATAAAGTGGAGGAGTATGAATACTAATTTCAACTTGTTCACTTAGACAAGGTTCTGAAGCATAAACTTTCTCTTTAAAAATGATGTTCATTATATCTGACCTGCTTACCTGGCAAGATGCAGAGCCCAAATAAGAAAACATCCATCAAAGGATTTGAAAAGTTATAAATTCCTAGATAAACATGCAGTATTTGCTTAAGTATATATTTTTTATAATATCAGCTTTAATGTGGGTGAGATCAGCTATCAAATTGCCTCCATTAAGCTGCATACATTTTGCCTATATAATGTAAAGGCTTTATTATTTGTCTTTTATGACTTTTAAAGATTTCTTTGATATACATATTAAGAGAAGGTTGACTAAAATATAAAATGGCTATACTATAATAGTACCTGATAGCTAACTGATTTAAGCACAGGCTGTTTATTTCTTCTAATTAAGTTAGTGTCATTTTCATTAATTCTATCATGTTTTCTCAAGTTGATAGGAGACTGAAAATGGCTTTTAGAGATTTAATGAACTTATTCATATGATTACATTTTAAATAACAATACCTTTTATCTTATGAAGACCTTAAGCTCTTGACTTATGTAAAAAGTCTAAGAGGTTATTTCAATGGCTTTTTATATTGATTGAGTAAATCATTTCAGTTTTTTAAATATTGTCAAGCAATGGCTTCATGTTATTCAACTATAAAAATCATAAGTAGAGTATTTGAATAACTTACATACTTTTTGATAGAATATCTATGACTAGCAATAAGTATAAAATATATATTTGTGATTTTAATAAAGCAGAGAGTTTATATGAGGGTAAATCAATGACATTCTATAGATTTCATAAATATTCTGATATTTATTCATAAGATGGTGCTTTCAGACTGTTGTGTACTTTTTATCCTTGTGTAGTTTTCAGCTATCTTCCTACGTATGCATAATATCAAACTAGTTCTCAATGCAGTGAAGTGCTATTGATTCACTAAAGAGTTACTTTACTTCACTTAAGTGTGAACTTATGAATTTGTGCAGGGGAAAAACTATATGGTTTTCATAATTCTTTATGGATGTCAACTGCATTTTTTGATCTATGTAAAATTGTGCACATTGAACTTCTGGACTTAGTCTGCATTATAATTGGAAAAACTTTTGAAAATATTGATTAAATGAAACTTTATAGGAAGTTCAGATAATGAAAGAGGAAACACACTTTAATGTTAATGTAACTTAGCAAATTAGACATTATGTCATATAAGAGGTAGAAATTTGATGAGTATAATTTCTGCAAAAGTAAAAAAAAACTTTTATCTTTAACTCATGATGAATCATTTTTAGTTACTTTTCTCATAAAGATCAGACATTGATAAGAATAGAGTTTTGAGAATAGAAGTTCCTTCACCTTAAAGGGGCACACCCAAATAGTCACACACATCCACCTTATTTTTTCTTGTTTCTCCTTGTTTGGAAAGCAGTTACCTAGAAGCATCAGGAGAAGCAAATGTTTTCCACAATAAATGCTACTATCCTTTTAGTAAGAACTAAGGACTGCCAAAGATAAAACATTTCAACACATGTTACCGTATGAGGATTCACCATTATATATTTGTATATCTATAAAGAGTACATCACATTTATTAAGCTCAGTTTATTATTTAATTTCTTATACTTAATGTACATTTGATGTTTCTTTTCAAAATCAACCTACCCTCCTAAACCTCTCTTTTTCAATCTCACTTTTTCTGAGGAAAAAATAAATCTTTAATAATATTTGCTAGTTCCTAGCCAGAGTAGCAAAATAATCACTCTAAAGAAGTGGCTTGCTACTTAATGGGACAAGGAAGGAGACCCGTCAGGATAATTAACTTTAAAAGATTGGAATCCCAGAGTCTCTTTGCTTTTAATGTTCATCAGTGAAAAGGTGAAGTAAATAGTAATGAATTAAATCACTCTCAAATCATCTTTCCTTTCCTTTTATTCATGCCTGCGTATGGCATCACTTTAGGTCTTCTATGAGAATCTGTTCTAAGAGCCTATAACAGTGCTGGCATGTAGTAAGTGTTTAATAAATAGTTGTGGGGTGAATGAGAGTGGAATTGTTGAAGGAAGAAATATTAGGTAATCCAGACTTTAGTGAACTGTGCCTCTATAAATACTGTGCACTTAGAACGTGTTAATAAATCAAAATGTGATTTCCAATATTTTAGAAACCAGAAGACAAATGATGGGATCCTTCAACTACTCCCATTTGAAAGTGGAAATAGTAGAGAAAAATTAATATATATGCATTGTTAATTACATTATTGATGTGATAATTTTTGTAGATAGTTCTCTTACATAGATAAATAAAACTGCATGTGCAGTTATCATCTGGTTAAAGATATAGAAAATATTAAATTTTAGTAATTACAATTATTATAAACTTTTTTTTGAAGCTGAAAGTGGAAGAGAAAATAAAACAATTGCCCAATGAAGGCAATATATGAGTCTAAATATAGAAACATTATGAAGCTGAGCCTAGATTATCTCTTATTCCTTCCAAAACTCAATTATCTAGTCAGCTGAGGTTTTAAGTAGTATGTTTCTTATAGCAGAATATAGAAGCTTTTTGCTTCTTTAAGGAAAGACTGGTCTAGAAAGACTTTCATTTTTAAGATGTTAGGGAAAAACACAGTTTCTAAACTTGAATTCTTATCGATACTTCATTATCCCAAAACTAAACTGAAACTTTTATTACAGAAATATTAAGTATAGTTTCCATCCTCTTAATTAAAAATCACTTCAAATTCAATTAAGTAGAAGCATGACAAAAATGTTTATGAAAAAGAAAAACATTAATAGAATTGAGTGCCTGTTAACACCCCCTAAAAATAAATTTAAACAAATTAGTAATCATTTTGTAAGGGGTAAAATTGGAGAATGTGAATCATAAATGTATCAAATTCAGTGATTTCCTGTAATAAAAACATCAGTTTTGCTTTAAATTAAGATATGTCTCAAAATGCATTAATTTGCTAATTTGTGTTCATCTAAAGAGTTTCTGTCTTTCTTTGCCTCTGATGCTATTTTGTAAGCAACAGTACCTTCAATAATTGTATTAGTGTTTTAAATTGTCACAGCAGCAGGTGAAACTCAAATGCTATTCTATGATTTGTAAATTTGTTCTCATCCACCTTTCCAGATTCTTTTATTCTTTGTATCTGTACGGGTCTATGTAGAATCTGTGATGTGTACCTATTGCAATTTTAGCTCATACTTTCAAGTGAGTGTTAATATCTAAGAGTAATGATTTCCCTGAGAGAAACTTACTTATTTAAATGCTGAATGTTTTTATTTAATGGTGTGTCAACATTATTTTTTAAAAAAATTATAATTAATATCAATGGAGTAAAACTGAAACATCTAGTTAATACAAGTTGTATTAAATTATTTGCTTAATATGTGATTATAAAATAACCTATTTGCACATGTGGACTAAGTCATGCTGTTGACTCTCAATAAATGTTAAATGATTACAATTTACTATTGATTCCTGTGAATTCCAGCCTTCTTAACAATCGTTTGTACATTAGTTGTTTAATATTTATTGAGCGCTCACAACAGACTAGGCGCTGGAGAATGGGTGTGAAGAGCAGAGTGAGCTTCAGAGAGATGATCTACATAAGGAGCCCATGCAACACCTGTACACACTTTTTTTTCTTTTAAGGTATTACATATATGTCCTTATCACCCCATTACCCACACACCTCCATCCTCCACTCATGCCCTCTCCCCCCCTGTTGTCTGTGTCCATTGGTTAGCTTATATGCATGCATATAAGTCCTTTGGTTGACCTCTGTCTTCAAGAGAACCTTTGCAGACTCCACTGTCTCACTTAATCACTTAACACATTTCACTTCTTCCTCTTATTTTATGTAATACTTTTAGAATGTTCTCACAGTTACT